TTTTTTTAATTTTTCTGCCGTTAACTCTTTCCTTTGATTACGTCATCCACTTGTTCTGCAGTTGTATGAAGAAATTTCGATTGAGTTACTATTATTAGTGTAATAAGCACAATACTTAATATTTAAACAACTACACGTTGTATTAGTAATTCAGTATGTTAATAAAAAAACCTAATAAATTAGTTGGAAAAAGTGGTTTCCAAAAATCTGTTTATAAATTTTCAAAATTTCCCACACATTATAGTACTTTCTCTGTGTCTTATACAGTTTTGCCAAAAAACGTATTTAGATATTTTAGAAATTTCTTCTTGTACTGCTTTTTCTTGCTTAAAATTTTTATAGATACTTTAATAAAAATTTGCAAAATAACTTTAAAATCCTATATCTCTCATAATTTAGGCAGAAAATGTGTAATTAGTGATACAGGCAATTTCTCTTATGCTACTTAACCTCTCTTTTCTGCTAATCAGTAACATTCAATGGAAAATTTCGGATTAATATCTTAACAATATTTTCTGAAAAATGTCTCGGTTATATTTGTAAATTTCAAAAAGAAAAAGAGTGTAGAATGAAAAATAATTGTAACTAAATTCTGGCGCACAAATGCAGATATATGTATATGTGTATGTGTGTGTGATACCTAAAAATTTTTTTTGTTCAATATGATTACGTAAAATCCTCACTTGTATTTTCATATCTATTCACTTTTTTTTTTTTTTTTTTGAAGTCATAACCTATTTTACACGTGCCAATTTTATTATTATTTTACTTAAAAGCTTATTTCCCATAAAAATCCTTAAAATTAAAAATCCATTCAATTTACGTACATGATAATGATTGTAATATCATGGTAGTAGTAGTAGTATGGAAATTGATGTAAGTGTGTGCTTACAAAAAAAAAAATTTTTTTTTTCCACTTAAATCTGGATAATATCACCATTTTTATAAATTTTTTTTTTAGTTTAATACGAAATTCAAAACGTGAGTATAAGTGTATTTTTTTTTTTAATCTGAAACTTACATCTTGTGGGATCACTTGAATTTAAAAAGAAGAAAAAAAAAAACAAAAAGAAGAGAAAATTTTAAAGAAAATGAACATCGAAATTTTTGTGTCCTTTATTGCTTTATGTATACCCTTAAGTACTGTTAAAAAATAAAATTCTTGTAGGAGAAGAGACGCAAGAAGAATAATGAAGAACAAAAAAAATAAAAGAAAATTCAAAAATCTAAAATAAAATCCTAAAAAAATATCGGAAGGAACGTTTTTATTAACGCTATCTAATTTTTTCTTAAAAAATACAACAGAAAAACAAAAAAATAAAAAATTTGGGGTTTAATATGATTTTGAACGGGTATCATTTAGTTATACTACAAATTTTTTCTTCCTTTCCTTTTTACAATGAGAAAAATTTCATTTCCTTCTTCATAACCATAATTTGGACCACTTTTTCTTATCGGGTTCAATATAGAAATCATATTATATTTGTATTTTGGGCAGTTATATAAATATAACTATACATATGTACATATGTACGAAAATATGTAATAGAAAATAAATTAAAATGAATCAATGTCCTTTTGAATCAATGATTTTCATATTAATGAAAATATGGTATGAATTAATGGTAAAATATGCTAAAACCAATGACTAAATCAAAATTTATTGTGTATATCAAAAATACATTCTCGCCTCATGTCACAACAATTTGCATAAATGGCATACACAATAATTATGTACCTATGTACTTATATATCTTGTTGCATAAATACATCTTCTACATAATATTTGCAAAAATCCTAATAATTTTAACTTAATCAGCATAATGAAGCCCCAATTTTATATGAAATTGTAAGAAAATTCTTCGAATTTTAATTTAGATATATAAGAGGCACAACGTTTCTCTATCAGAATTTATGGCACGTAAAATTCAGCACGAAAACCATACTTCCCTTATTTCATATAATCTAAAATGCTTAATAAAAAAAAAATGGCAAAATACCTGTAAATAGAATTTTTTAATGGAGTGATTAAAAAAAAAATTATGTAGATAATTTTAAATAAAGTTATTACCCTGTTACATAATAATAATATAAGATTTAACAATATCAGATTGAATTTATGATGAAATAATATTGTAAATTTTTTGGCAAAATAATATGATTTTATTAAATTTTAGGTGATAATTTTAATATGGAATGTGCGTACCTTACATAAAATGGTAGCCTTTGGCATTTTTTTTTCTGGATAATATCTCTATGATCCTTTCTTAATGGTAAATTTTAATATACTTATTGGTTAATATAATTATTCTATTTGATTTTTACTCTCAATAACAAAAACAAACCTGGAGTGGCCTGTTTTTTGGTTAGCAAGGGTTGTAAAATTAGTAATACATGATATAGACTTTTTAATCCGATAAAAGCTATTTTTGTTTTAAATAAAAAATCTTTTAGAACAGCAATTTTTTGAATATTTCCACTTGTGTTATGCTAGTAAAGTTTTACAAATAAGGAGAAAAACTTCTGATTGAAATTTTGTCAATTGGGAGAAAATTGAGAGTTCCTCATACTGAAAAACTCTTCAGAAAAATTAGATTCTGACTTCCTTTCGCAGGTATTTTTGCAAAATTATGGTAAATTTGCATACTTTCTAAAGGCTTGTCATTTTGCTCAATATTTCAAAAGAGTATAACGAAGTTATTTCATAAACTTTTCTTATCTTAACATAAATTATAATATTTGACTTTAGTGCAGTGCTAAAATTTTAGTTGCTAATTAAAAATCATAAATATAAATATTTTTCGAAATTTCAATATTCCTTTGGGATTTTAATGTAAGCAAATAATAAATAGGGAATTCGGACTGGTATATATGAAAGATAAAAAAAAATATTTTAGAACAAATCATTCACTGTAATAATTTCTAATTATTCACTGTAATAATACAAATATCATTAAAAATTAAATATTATTGAAGAAAATGCTATTGTTTATATTATTACTAATACAATGTACATATTGTTTGCTTGACATTTTAATTATGATTTATTTGCATTTTAAAATTTCGTTATCTTTGTCGATTGCAGTAATGTGCTGATTGTTTAGGTTGAAGTAAGGAGGCAATTTCATATAACAAAAAAAAAATATAATGAATTTTATTTGAATAAATATTAAAAAAATTTGAAACACACAATATTAAGTAGCTTTGTAACAAATGTAAACATAAAGTTTAAATATTTGAAATAAATTCGCCCGAGTGTATGCAATATACTTTTTATTGTAATGAGTAATGAAATTTTCGAACCAGTAAATTGATTCTAAGTGCATTACATCATTAGTTTCTCTGGTTTGCAGTACAATTTTCAAAAAAAAATCAATTTTTTAACTGTCTGCTCTTTCAAATAAATTAAGACGTATTTGAATCTTAAATTGTTAAAGTCATGCGTTTTAACATTTGCATATGATTTTAACGTTTTACAATTTATCTTAAAACTTATCGACTTAATCCAAAAAAATAGGCAAAACTAAGTTACTACTAGCTTGCAATACTCAATATTCTGAAAGTTTATACCAATCACGTGGAACTTATCTAATGTGGTCATTGCTTTTGGCTGCGTATTTAAAAAATATGGAATTGAATATTTTGTACTTATATTTTTTGTTCTGTCCAATATGTTCTGGAACATCATACTTTGGAAGGTTGACATCTTTACAATATGGAAGCCAGCAGTGTTTGCTCTAGTAATATAATATAGGAAGTATTTCAGAAATGCAAATCTACTTAATAAAATACAAAAGAGACAAATACACAAATAAGACCTTCTAAAATAAAGAAAAATTTAAATAGACAATTTACACAAACTTATTTTATACTCTCGAATGAACATATTATAAGCGTACAATAAATACAGAAATAATTCAAACGTAAGAAATTAAATTTATTTGCTTTTAATATTTTTTCTCTTTTTGTTTTTGTAAGATTATGAAAAAAAAATTTCGGGATAAGTGAGATTATCCTGTATTATTTCCACTTTTTAGAAAAACAAAAGAACAACTTTAATTTTTTTTCTTTCACTTTAAATTTAAGGTTATGAATTAAAATAATTTTTGTTACGCCTGCAAAGTAAAAGATTAGAGAAAAGTATTTTGTGAAAATAAAAATTGTATAAAAGAATTTGTTTTAAAGGAAATTTTCTTAATTTGAGCACACCTAACGAATTTTAAAAAAAAGCAAAGAGTTAATGACAATAAATAGAACTTTTTTGTAAAATTACAGACTTATTTCTAATATCTCTGGAATTTACATACTTATAATTGATACTTCCGGAACTTTTAAATTTTTTATTTACGGAAAAGTATACAAAATTTTTTAATATTTTCTAATTTTACTTCACGTGTTACTCATTATATACTTATCTATATGTTTACGATTTCAATAAATTTTTTTTTGTCATCCACTACACAAAATACAAACATGGTAATTTTAATTAATACCTAAGTATTTTGTAATCCTATTATATGATAAAAATTAATGTAAAGAAGTTCATAATACTTAAATTTTATGGGACTATATCAATTTACTCCACATTTTATATTGTATAAGCTTTCAAATATAAATTAATTTTAATGAGTACAATTAAGGTGATTTCGAATTTGTTCTTGTTAAAAAAAAAACAGAACATTTATATTAGCGTAAAATAAGACACCTGTGAATTAAATTGAGTATGTATGTGTACATATACCATTTTTATTATAACAATTAAAATTTTACGCAAAAAAAAATTTATAACATGAATTTAACAGGGAAAATGAAACAAAATCTTTGACAAACATTACAATTTCATTTTTACAAATAAATTGTACTTAAAAACAATTTTTTGAATTTTTATTTTTTTTTTAATTCAGTATTTTTAAATAAAAAGTAATTATTTACGTCAGAAATTTGTTTTTTACTTATTTTTTTTTTTATAACATTTTGTTTTTCTTCTCTTCTCTTTATAGGTCTGGTTAAATTAGGTGTACATTGTGTCCTTGGTAAAAAAGTGGCAATTAAAATAATTAACCGTGAAAAACTTAGTGAATCTGTTTTAATGAAGGTAAGTTATTATTATTCACATTCGTTAAAGCATAAGAAAAAAGTAAAAGTTGAGAAAATAAAAATTGAATTTTAAAAAAGCGAAAAAAAAAGTTCAAAAGTAGGCTTAAAACAAAATTTATTTGTGAAAGAAATGAAAGTGAATTTATTTAACGTAGCCCTTTTAAGTATACGAACGCATGCATTTACTAGTATATGGTAAATTTTATATCTGCATACAGGAATCTTCCCCCTCATAAACAATATTTGAAAGAAAATCTTTTTGTGATTAATTCGAAATTTCTTAAGACAGGGCACATATAAAAATATATTCTCAAATTGAGGTAGATAAGAGGTGTACATACATTGTAGTATACATACAACCCTCCACGAATTCGTTAAGAACCTCAGGTGATTCAACGATTAGATATATTTGTGTTTTAGTAAAATATTTCGTTATATATTTTATAATCAGAAAAATATTATGTCTTGATCAGACTTCAACAGTGGTCATGCTCTAGGTTTTTAACAAGTTGTAAAATAAAATATTAATATAAAAACAATTACCAATAAATCCATAATATTTGGCTATATTTAAAGAAAAACTACGGCAGACCAGTGACCTGCCTTGTTAAGCGCAATAAGGTTCTAAAACTAACTCTACAATGTTATGCGGCAACCCTATATCTCCCTCCTGAGGACGATAGAGTAAAACATAAATAATTGAATATAAAAAAATATGCATGCCACAAAAATTTGTTACATATAAAGGGGTCGTATAAAACGAGGTATTACTGTATATGCATAAGGTATTGCTTGAATCAGCACACGTTCGAGCTCGAAAACAATTTCGAAATTTATGTTTAAAAAAAATTGTGTGTGTTTATTTCTACAAAAGAGTACAAAAAATTGAAAAGGTTAAGAGAGACTTTGTTTTTTTGTATTTTAAAATAAAAAAAAATATACATATATGAACAAAAGTCATTCATAAATAATGTTATACGTTGTTTTTTTAAGGAATACAAAAATTCACACAAACAAACTTTTCATTTTGCAATTTTAAATTTTTTAAAATTCAAAGTGTTTTTTTCTTTTAAATAAAAATCTGAGAATTTTGTTTAAAAACATTTTTGTTTACATATGCACACACATAAATATATGTAGTTGATGAAAAAAAATAAAGAGCCCTTGGGCATTAAATAGAAATTTTTTAAAGTTAAATTAGCCTAGATTGGGTTTTTTTTTTATTTTGGTCTCAATTTTAATTTAAATTTTAATTTTTAATTTCACTTTTTTTTTTCTTTTTAAAGTAAATGTGTTGATTATGTTCAACGAAAATCACTAATTTTGTTTCAATATACATAAATGTATTTACATACATGTATACATGAAATACTGGTGTATATATGAATATATATGCTTATTTCAGACTCTTAAATTTAAATAAAATTTTTAAATATAAAACAAATTACAAATGTAAATTAATATAATTTTATTTTAAAAATTTATTTTTAATATTATGTAAGAGATCCAGTTATAAAGATAAAGATAAAATAGGATAACATAAGGATAAGATAAAAATTGTGGCTTAAAGTATGTTAAGGATTATTTAAAAAACCTTGACATCATACAATTTGATTCATTTACACTATATTGGAAATTTTCATATACTCCATGATTAAGACATGTAGTCCTTGTTTCAGAAATTATTCTTATGCTTCAAAAAAGGAAAAATTAATTTTTGAAATCAATTTAAAAAATAAAATTTCATAAAATTCAAAATTTCATCTTTGGGAAACTTGTGCCTGAATTTATTCAAATTATGGAATTTAAATTGATTAGTAAACCATAAAGTATTAAAGAAATAAAATCTTTTTCGTCTCATTTAAAATACTAATATTTTTGAATGTGAAATATATTTTTAGTTTTCTATATATTGTGTATACTGCCGTGGTAAGTATAAGACCACTGCATTAAAAAAATTTTCCAAACTGTTTCATTTATTATGTACTTGTCACGTACATATGAGAAATGTGCTCTGTTTATATTGGGTATAATCAAAAATGTGCATCAATGCAGCGTGGATGAAAAGAAGTGTTGCTGATACTATACCGATGTGAGGCGTGCACCTTGCTGAGGCAATATTATTTCGACATTTTTGGACACTTTCTAAATAATATATTTTTTAGCGTTTATTTCGAAAAGATTTTATATAAAAGTATTAAAATTATTAACAACCGAAAATCTACAAAAAAAATTTTTTAATTTCAATTAAGTTTTGGAGATTTTAATATAATGTAAAATTTAAAAATATTAATACTTTGAATAAAGGAATAATTAACTTTAATGGTTATTGACTTAAAATAATTAATTATTTACTTCTCAGCTTCCCTTTAAAAAACTTATCATCAATATGAAATCACAAAAAAAATTGATGCATTGTTGATTTAATAGATGCGCATACAATGCGTATTTTTGACATTTTTGGACACCAAATATTTAAAGTATTACTGTATTGATGCATTTTCGTACATGATTTTTACGTTATTACTCATCGATGCTGCATCGATTACTTTCCGATTATACCCATTATTTTGCTGTATGGCAAAAAATTTCTATGGTATGCCTTTTATTTTGCTTTCATGGAACCTTCGTAAATATTATGTCTATTAATAATTTTTAAATATTCTTTATTTATTTTCACAATGACCAGCATCCATTGAATCAAAATTATCAGTTGAATTTTCAAATTAATCTTGTTTCGGAATTCTTCTTAATTGTTTTAATAACTAGATTTTAGAAAAAATTTTTAAATTTAATAAATATGATGATAAACTTAAAGACTCAAAATTAAGAAACAGCCCTTAATAAAAAAATTTTTTTGGTTGAAAAATAAAATATTTTTGAATATTTTTTTTTTAATTTTTAATTCCTTGTTTCCTATATATTTTTATTAATCCTAAAAGGTCATCAGCCATAAGATTTGAATCAATAATAAAAAATAAAAAAAGCGGAATTTAAAACTTTAACAAAAATATTTTTCATTTTGTACAAGAAAAAAAAAAAATGAAATAAATTTAAAATTCCCTAAAGAAAATTTTTCAATATAAACGAAAAAAAAAACCGAAAATGTTTTCCGATTTTTGCTTTTTTTTTTATTTTTCTTTTGGGATCTTTTTTTATTATACATTTTTGGTTTTCTTTTCAAATTCTTTATTTACTTTTATATTTTTAGGTTGAACGTGAAATAGCAATTATGAAATTAATAGATCATCCGCATGTCCTTGGATTATCGGATGTATACGAAAATAAAAAATATTTATATTTAATATTGGAACATGTTTCCGGTGGTGAATTATTCGATTATTTAGTTAAAAAAGGACGATTAACACCAAAGGAAGCGAGAAAATTTTTTCGTCAAATAATTTCAGCATTAGATTTTTGTCATTCACATTCAATATGGTAAGTTGTTATGAATATTATGCATGCATATTGTACGATGTATATCGCAAATAAAATTTGTATATGAATTGAATTTCATGTCCATAAATGCCTAAGGTATAATCATTTTGAGATTATATTGAGTATTCAGAATATATTCAGAAACCAACTACTAAATCCTTATTTTCACACACATTTTCATTCAATTTAAAGAATAGGATTAAGAAAAATAAGTATGTTATACTAGGAAAAAAATATATATGTCTAGTTTATTACTCTAAACAAAAAAATTTAAGATAATTAAAATAATTTATTGTAAAATTTCCTTAGTCGCTGTACACAAATTTAGGTCAAAAACTCAATCTTAAATGGTCAGATAATTTGAGTACAAAAAAATATGAATGTGTACAAATTTTCTTTAATTTATGAAAATGAAAAAAGTTTTCAGTGTGCAATATAACGTGTCGCCAATTATTGCTTTGATTTTCATTTTACCCATTTAATTTATATACTCTTATGTACTTTATCTATATACTCGTATGCGTCTATAATTTTACTTCAATAATATTTGGCGCCCTATTATGTATTACTATTTATACCTATACTAACTGAATTTTCTAAAAAAATATTTACTATTTTACATAGTATAGGGTGTTATATAAAAAATAAAAATTAAATATAATAGTTAAGAATATTTTAGTAATATAAGCAAAAGCATCTTCTGAATTTATAATTTTCTATTTAATAAATGAAAAGAAAAGCAAACAGTTCAATACACGTTTAATCCATCAAAGTGGTTTTTATACTCTATATAACCTTAATAGTTATTTACCTATTTTATACATACTAACGTATATGCATATGCACATACTTATTAAATATCCATAATTTCTTATTTCTATAAGAATTTTCACAACATTCATACATACATAAATTATTGTTTATGCTATCTTTATCTTACTGTTATGGTATTTGAGTTTTCACATTACAAAGTTTTTTTTTCTCATTTTTTTTATATACAGCATCATTTATTTTAGATTTGTATTTTGATTCGTGATTTCTTCTTATGTACTTATCTATACATGGTTTGGTTTTGTAATTGAGGTGACCATATGTAATAAAAAAAATTAGGAACGAAATTGTTGTCCAGTCTTCCTTTCCCTTTTTTTCTCAATCAAATTCTTCGCCAATGGTTTTGTTACTGATTCCATTGTTTGGTCTATGTAAAATTTGTTGCTATCATAGCATTTTGTTTTGTACATATACAAGACTACGTCTGTCATTTTTTTTTGAGTTTATCCTTTAATAAGTTGGTCCTTCCTATTGCTGTCAGATGTCCGAATTTTATAATATTTTCTAAGCATTTTAGTTTTTCAAATTGCTTGGTCAATAAGTTGATTCTCATTGTGGGCCCAGTGCACTATTCCGTTTGTATGACGATCGCATTTAACTTAATTGAATATCTATTATGAAATTCTCTTCTACTTCTAAGCCTTCTATTTCCATATTTATGTACATACTTGCTACTCTTAATCTGTCCCCTAAAATAATAAAATGCGGATGGTCATCGTATATAATAGTATATCTATTATAATATATATTTTATATAGTATATTTTGTTGTATGTAATAAGCATAATAAATATTTTTCTAATTTTTAATCTATAAATATTCTTTTTGCTAAAACTTTCTTATTTCTTTTATTCTTTATATTTTTATGTATATATATACAAAAAAAATAAATTATCGTCGTAAATATTATAGTCACAGAGATTTAAAACCAGAGAACCTGCTGTTAGATGAAAAGAATAATATTAAAATCGCTGATTTTGGTATGGCATCACTCCAACCGGCTGGATCTATGTTAGAGACATCATGTGGATCACCGCATTATGCTTGTCCAGAAGTCATTCGGGTATGTACACATAAATATTATTATATGTATATTATAAATATTTATAAAGTATATGAATATATTACAAGTAGAATACATACAAGTATTTATTAGGTTCTTTAAAATATATAGATATGTATAAGAATGTGAATGTGCGTGTGTTAGTTTTCTTTTAAATTTTACTTTTATTTTAAAATTATAACTATGTGCTTCCATAATATTATGAAATATAAAATAGGATCCATATATACATACAAATATACATTTTATAATTTTTCTTCTAGAAAATATCTGTTTCTAAAAATATATGTTTTGTGTTGATATTGTATTTCGATAACTAATGTACATTGCATATAAAGAAAATGATTTTTTAAATAAAAGTGCAGTACATTCCCATTTTATATTTATGTAAGGATTATGAACTTTAAACGAATGAGTATATGATGATATTTTCTAGTTTAAAATTCAGGCAATAGATTTTTCACAATTCTTAATTTAAAGTTCGAATTTTATTCAATCCCTCTCCAGAATTATGGCTAATTCATATAAACTTGATTTTTTAAAAAAAATCCCACAAAAGTAGTCCAATGAAGTCAGAATAATTCCAGAGCTATAACACAACATTCAGAACGAGATTACTGTGCACGATGTGGGAGCAAGTCATTGAAAGTTTTGATTTTTGTATGACACGCCTTCCGATGGACATTTAATTAATGCAATTTTTCATTTATAATTGTAATGAGCTATATTTTTAACAAAAACAGCAAATAATTAAAAAATCAAAAGATTTTTGTTTAAAACAATATCTAGACTCGACTCTTGAAAACCCCTACATAGAATTATTTTATAATTTTCGCCATAATATTGAACTAAACAATTTAAATATAACACTTGAATTTTGAAAAAATTTATATTGTTCCAGAAAGGATAATACTAGGAAAAAAATTCTAAACACAATATGGCGTTAGCATTTTTATTTTGTACTCATACAATAAAATAATCGCTTACTCATGTAAATGTGATTATTACAAGGAAAATTGTAACAAAAAGTATGTACAATGTATCAAATGCATAAATACGAATAAAAAAAATCTAATCCTTGATACATAAAACATCCGTTTCAAATATTTCTTTCTTATCTAATTTGTATTCATTGGCAAGTATGTTTACTGATTTTCATTTTTACAAGTAAAAACCTTGCATCTTCAGAAACAAAAACCGAAAGCACTTTAGGAGTACTACATGCATTGAAAATCTTGAAAAATATTTGTTTAATATTGGAAAATTTGATGGTTTTTGTAGGTAATATAGATTATATAAGACACAAATTCCTTCAAGCTATTCAATTTTTTAATAAGCTAAAATATGTGTTTAAACCACAAGTCACGATTGTGGTATGGGAACGAAAAGAAATTTCCTTAAACCGTATACTTTGGTGCACAATTCTTTTATTTCAGTGCTTATGACATTTTTGTTCATTGTTTATTGTACACGTTTATTTTCGTATGTAGGCACGTGTTGCGGTTGATTAAGGTGCAAGTATTTTTATGACATATTTTTTTAAATAAATTTTAATAAATTATGAATTTTTATTTAATAAAATTTAAAATTTATGTAAAGAAGTAATTAAATTTAATATTTAGGAAAAAAGTTAAACATAGCTCTATACTTAATGTTTGGAGATTTGTGTCTATGTCGCACACTAAATTATCGATTTGATGTCTTCAATTTGTCAACAAAATTATTTTGACAGTAAAATTAATAGTGAATATTTTTATATAGAATCTCAAAACTTTCCGAGCTTTTTAAGCCAATTACCTGATTTGTTCAGTCACATTTCTTACTTAATTTCAAATCAGAGTTTTAAATTTTTCCCAAAATAATGACTGAACATGTCAACTTTAAAGTGAATAAATGGTGAGGAAACTTCGTATTTTTTTGGTAAAATCAAGATACGCAATATAAAAGAATTTTTTTAGTTTGAGTATAGCACTATACCAATCACTCACTTTCTTTTCATTCAGTGACTGAAAAAGTGAGATTTACAATTTGTTTCTAAAATTTTTTCTTAAGGCAAGAGTTAATCATAATAAGTAGAAAAAAATGTAACGAAACTGCCTGTACTATTTAAAATTCCTCTCTTCTCTGAGTATAATGAAAGCGTTACTTAATGATTGTATGTCGATAGTCGCAATTGTAATTAATATTAATAATGTTTTTCTACGCCTTTTGGCATAAAACTCTTTATGCTCTTGGTATAAAAGCAATCATTTGATAATAAACTGGCGATAAAATGTATTCTTTTTTTAAATAGAAATAATTTCCCTTTATTGTATAAATTTGTATGTATGTTTCAGAGATTATGTATATAGAAGATGTACGAGTATATATCATGAATTTTATTAACAAACACATGAATATATTTATGTCCTTTACATAAAGATATACTTAAGGATAACTTCAAAGTATCCAAAAGTTTTGCTCTGTACATATTAAATATTTTACTTTGACAAATATATTTAGTTTTTATTTTTTTTGTTTTTTGTTATTCTATATTTTGAGAAATATTTATGACAGGAATTTCCAACATTTCAACATTTATGCTGAATGCATATCCAGGACAAACAATTCTTAGAAAAATTATTATGAAATTTTAAAAGAGGATGCCTATAAAATTTTTTCTTTTTTGTAATTTTCTTTTAGTTTCAAACTTATAAAAATTTAAAAAAAAATATATTTGACAGCATTAAAATTATTACTTAAAGAATTTGTAATACTGTGATGATTTTTCGAAAGTTCAGTTAAAAAAAAAAAATAAGGTCAATAGATTCTTTTGAAATTGATATATAGAAAATATGAATGCGATGTATGGTGGTACGAGTATAAAAATCGATAAGACGAAATTTTCTAGAATTTTTTTTATTAATTTGAAACCTATTTCTACATTTTCATACAATATTGTGATTTAGAACAATTTAGAATGGTGTTGTATTTGAATTAATTTACAGAAGATGGTATAGAATAAATAGGGTAATATAATAAATAGGATGCGCAAAAAGCAGTAGGATTCTTTCGAAAAGAACAGATACTCACCCATGATGAGTAACTCAGGAACGCTGGTTGTGCAGTGACGTGTAGTGAGCATTACTGTTATATAGAAGGGGATCCACGTAGTGGGTGGCTTAGTCGGGCACCTTTTAGCGGATAACTGGGCATGATAACTTTTGGCTTATCTGACTGTTAAACAATATCCCGATGTATTGGAGGACGTGTACCATATCTGTAATTATGTATTTTTGATGGAAAAGAGAAAGAGGAGTTTTTTTTTGCTATATTATATGTGCAGTACATGAGATATGCGTTTGGAGACAACTGAAATTCACAGTAAAAGTATTTTCAAATTTCCATGATTGGGTTGGTTCTCTATATTTATTGACGACAGACATTTTAAATGGGTAGTGTTTAAGAATAAAACGCCATACTGTTCCTATATATTGTTTAGTTGGTGTTTGTTCCATTCGTTAATGGAAATTGACTGCTGATAAAACTGACTTTCTTTTAAATTTTGATTGATTTATGTATGTAAGTAGAATTTTTTAAGTGATTTGTTGAATAACATTTTGGTTTTTAGAAAAACAGTCAATTTTGAGTAATTTTTTAAGGGATTTCTTTGAGTTTCTTTCATGTAAATTTTTTAATAATTCAACTTGCAGTTTTTAATGTACTACTTATAACAGAAGAGTAATTATTTCTATCATCCATACCAGATCGGCTTCAATTAACATGTGATACACTCAACTTGGTAGCGTGACAGAGCTCCTTCTTCTGTTACAACGGAACATTGCTAGTTATCAAATAATTCAAAAATTTATTTAAAGTTTTATTTTCAATATACAAAACTACTACTTACTACTACCGTATTAACTACTGAAGTAGTAGATTGAACACTACGTATTACTTTCTCTTTCGGATTTTATAAGAACACCATTTTGATATAACAATATGTTAAAATAAAGCACAGGCAAGTTATAAAAATTTTGAATTCAGTTAAATATTAAAATTATAAAACGAAAATTCCTGTTTTTTCTTTTATCATTGATTTTTATTTTTCGGTTTTCAAATTGTATGTTTATATTGTTTTGAAAATTTGACATACTCTTCAATCTTCTGTCATTCCATATTGGAAAATATTGGAGAAAAGTTAAAATTAAACTATATATGTAGGTTTGAAAAGAATAAAAATTATAAACATACATAAAAATCTTTTATGTATTTATAATACAAGTGCGGTGAGTGATGTTGAAAAGAATTGAAGGAGAAAATGAAAAGGACATTTTTATTAACGTAAATGGTGAAAAAAAAGAAAGTTTTTATTTTATTTTTTGGAATTAGTTAGAATATTTATGTAAAATTTCAAATATATTTTTAGTACGTATTATTCTTTTTCAATTTTTCTCAAAAAAAAAAATTTATTAAAGTAATTTTTAAATGCTAAGTATTTAATTTGCACCTTTGTATAAAATAAACTTGGGTCAAATAAATAGAATAAAATTATTTAAAGCTTGTGGTTTAAAGGTTGTTGGTTCGGAATTTGTCAAAAAATTCAGTTTTATTAAAAAATGAAATCAGCTGGACGTTACTGTTTCTCTTCAGTCAGACATTATTCGACTTTAGCGGACCTTACAGTTTTACGCTTAATGAATAAAATTTGGTTCATTTTCAGAGTCAATGACATGAAAAGGAAAGGAGAAACAGTGAAAATTTGTTCTACTCGTATAGTTTGAAATAAAAAAAAATTCTTAAAATGCTTACAATTTCTTTAAATTTCACATTCTAAAAAAATCCAAATTACTATAAAAATTTTGTCAAAAATTCTATAAAAACTGCTCCAATAAACTAGTCAATTTAAAGAATCTTAGACTGCTTTTAATTGAAAGGTCTAATTTTTCTGCGTTTGTAAAATTTTTTTTGATTTTTTGACACAATGAATGATATCATCGATATTACAGAAGAGTCACGAA